ACTGTTTGAAACAAACCAACAGTTATTCTTATTCTCACTTTATAATAGCCATATTTTCGACATTATTCTTACTGTAAGTGTGGAAAAGTTTCTGTGGCTAATTTTACTTACATTTCGAGTAAATTGGATACAATATTTTGACAAATACTGAAAATTCCATGCTCTATTACAAGTGCAACAACAGAAGACAAGGGCCAGGCAACAGATCGTCTATTAAGCGAATCAACACGTATTTATATATTTTCATGTACATCATTATAGCTTATTCAAGCAAACAAATACACTCTTCTGATTGGTTGTTTCTCACAGAAAGTTGACCTTGCATCTCTTCGTGACTGTTTCTTGAATGTCAAGTCACCTATATGTTAACTGTATCTGCCTACGCAAAGTCTGCTGTAACTGGTTGTTGAATCAGTCTTTGTTCATATTTTTCTCACCACCAATATTTGGGTCATACACATTGACGTAAATAATTTGGCTAGCAGCCTGTTCTCACCACACTCATCCCCCCGTCAAAGACTTCCAACTGAAGTTGGTTCTGAGCGCTTTGTTCGTTCGTCTTGCTGTCTGGAATCGCAGAACTCGCTGATGTTCACCTGTTTCTCTTCGTTTGCCATTGCGATTGTGTCTGCGTAGCCTCTCAAAGTGACCATATGTGGTCCTTCCCACTTTGGAAACTGTTTGCCTGACCCTTTCCAGCATTCGTTGGTATTTCATCTGAATGGTAGGCCTAACACGTAGCCAGAAACACAAAGTATGCAGACACTTATCACCTCGCTGTCATCTTACTTTCTTCTCTATGTTCTTATTCAGAAATAAAGTCTCATATGAAGAAAGCGTGTACAAGAGCATAACACTCTCTGGCACAGTACAGTAGAGTATAATTCCATCTTGGTTTATTTAATTGTGTATTACACAGAGATACAATATATTACTTATTGGATGACATTCCGAGAATTCATCAGTGATGCATACCATCACTTCATACAATTTAAAAACCTTGACTTCTGAGACCTTAGTCCCGTATAGATATGGATATATATCCACTATGATATCATCATACGGTCTACAACACTTCGTCGGCTAGTAATTATCTCGTGGCAGGATTGAATGTTTAAATATAAGCGGTTATTTATCTTCAAGTGGAAACATCTACAGATAAAATCAACAGCGTTTTTGTTCCACTTCTATACTCTTCAAATTGAATACGACACTCAAACCAAATGCTGGACAGACAACCACGCCTTACGCTTACTTATATGATCGTACCTGGAATTATTCTGATCAATAACGTGATTCACCCCCACCCCAAACAGTTGATTGGTTACTATTTACGTCTTTTCCTTCAGTTCTAAACAATAAGCATTCACGCACATCTCGGAGAATCGGAAAATCTCATGTGCCCTCAGTTACTCGTCCTTCAGGTCGAAATGGGAAAGAAAGAGCTAAGTATTCTATGAGTATAATAAAAGTCCTGTCGACGTTCAAACGTTTGGCACTACAGCGACAAAAGCCGACCTCACGAAGATAGTAGATAATGTTGACCGGTTCACATACTTCATCACGCTCAACCTCAACCTAGATCACATGGTCTATCTTTATATCAGTCTATATAAAGTTGTAACAAGAGATGAGGATCGATTCAGCTTGTGATGAATTCATACATTGAACCAACGACTTCATGAAAGATTTTTTATCGATCACTCAAAATCCCTGAATTCTCTTTTACCTTGACGCAGCACACCACTACTTCACTGAATTCACTATGATATAAATCCACGTACTGAGTCCCCATTTCTCGCCATTGTGAATTCCACGTAAATGATTTGGCTTCCCTGGATTATTTATTAGAAAGACAACTAGATGGCAACCTTACAGTAAACATCTTCAGAAAGTCAACACATTCGGAAAGATACCTAAACTACACCTCAATACATCGCTTTACCATCGAACTGTGGCCAAGAATCTGATTAACAGAGCCAAACGTGTAGTTACTAAGGTGGAGGAGATCAACAGGGAACTAAAATTGGTTCAGTCTACTCTTGAATCAAAGCCTTTATAAAAAGATATTTTATGAGTGAGGATAAGAATGAATCGAAACCTCTTGTTGAGACCTCGGTTAGTGCAGTGGCGATTCCTTAACGCAAAGAAACATCAGGTGAAATAAAGTGACTCCTCAAGAATCTTAGCATAAGCCACCTTACACTCAACACGGATGAAGATTAAGGATAAAATAGAAGAAAACCAACAAAATTGTGTACCAGACCAACTGTCAGCAATGTGGCGCTGTATATTCAGGAGAAACTTCCAGACACGTAAATGTAAGAGTGAAGGAGCATAAACGATGCCAAAAAGTGGTTCCAAAGATCTGTGTAGACCTGAAAAATCTAAAAACCACAGATCGGCGATTGCAAGGAATTAGACGGAAACGGGACACAAGATCGATTCTGATAGGACAAAGGTTTTGCTTCGTATAAAGAGTAACTGAAGAAGCCCTACATTTATGGTCGTACCCCAAAGGTTTGAGGGTTTGATGTTAGCTGTTGTGTGGCAAGTCATGAGTAGTAAATAAAAAGGGACATGTATCATTAATCAGTCATACTTAATTACAATTCCCGATTGTCTATACCTTCTTATTTAGAGGCTAACAAATGATTTACAATTGTTTTCCCATTCACACACACAAACACTATTGCATACCCTCAGAGAGTAATTTAATTGACCTACAGTCATGCTCAGCTTACCCAGAATCCAACACCTCCCTGAATGGGATATAAACAGAGGTCCTCCGTCCCCAACTGAGGTTAATGAGGCTGTCACTAGTCTGAAACGAGACAAAGCAACGAGACCTGGTGGAATGGCTCCAGAGGTGTTTAAGGACAGCGGAGACAGTTTTCTGTCTGCATTATTTAAGGTAATAAGCAGAGTCTGGGAATCAGACGAAGTCCTGTCGGGCTGGTGTAAGTCATTGATTATCCCGATATACAAGGAAAAAAACAAGTCTTCCTGTGATAGTCACATGGGGACTAGCTTGACTAATGTGGTATCTAAGGTTCTAGACTCAATAATAATGCGTACATTAAGTAGTTTTCGGGAGAGAAAAACGAGAAAATTAGCTAGACTTCAGACCAGGAAGAGCGTGTATCGATCATATCTTCACCCTTCGACAGATTGTGGAACATAGTTATATCCACCAGTATCCAACAATCGCCATATTTCTTTACCTCAAAACGGAATTCGATTCCGTCGACCGAGAGGTAGTATGAAAATATTTGGCTGTGAAGTGAATGCCGAGAAAATACGTGGCACTGATCAAGGCACTAAACTCGAACTCATGAAGTCAGCCAAGTGAGATGCTACGGAGAGTTGTAATCTGAAGTGGTGGCAACTAGTGGTGTCCGGCACGGATGCCCACTATCCCGTTTCATCAAAGATTTACTAATGAACTTAACCCTAACTCACTTCCGCGACATTCACCGATTAACTTTTTAACAGGAAATAATCTCATTGACTTAGAATACGCAGATAATACAATCGTTTTAGGTGAGGACGCTAACAAAATAGAGCAGAGCCTTCTGAACACCTTGAGCAGCAATCGACGAGTCTTTGGAATGCTATTCGCTCCCACCAAAAGTAAGATAATGCTACAGGACTGGACTACACTGACTCCTAGCTTAGAAATAGGCAGTCAAGCGGTAGAGCACGTTGACCACTTCACTTATTTGGGAAGTTGCATCAGCCAACGCCAAGGAGTTGATCGCTGTCGAAATCTTAGTACGGACACAAAAGGTTCGTGTGGTGTGGACGTGATATCCCACTGATAATCGATCAGAAGACGTACATAATACCTGGCAGTTTGTCGAGTCCTCCTTGATGGCTGGCTGTAAGACTTAGCCATTGAAAGAGGAAGACATGAAAAGGCTGGCTAGCTGTCTTTAACCATAGGTGTCTGCGTTATATCTGCCGTATTAGGCGGTATAATAGGGTGAGTAATATTTAGGCTCGGCTTCGGTCGAGTGCTAGGTAAGGAAAGAAAATCAATCCACGAGGTTGTGAAGTCACATCGATTGAGACGGTTAGGGCATGTGTCACGCGTGCATACCTAGTCGTCGCCTTCCTCGATGGACAAGGCTAGCTAACATAGGGTGGATCAGGTTTGAAAAGAAACAGCTAGAGGTAGTCAATCAAATCTACAACAGTTTAAGTGTTGGTTAGTTAAAGCTAGACACGTATGGCCGCGGAGAATGCTTGGTTGGAGGGGTCCTCAGGATGGTAAAAACCAATGGTTGGAGAGAATTCCTAATATGGTTCAAAATCGTTCTCAATGACAGCGCAGATGAATTCACTCCTTGTGATATATCACATCCAACAAAACTCTATCATTCTTCCATATAATTGTTCTTTTTCCCTCACTCACACCAGTGTTTATCATCTATCTTTTGGGCCTCTCTACTCTTGCTTTGTATGCTACACAATGAGACAGTGGCCACTCGAACTACTGTACTTTGTGCAAAGTTCTACGTTGAAAACGTCAGGCATTCAAAAACTTTTTTGTTATACTTTGATGATTGTTTCAGGTCCCGTGTGATTCGACAAAGCTTTTAAAGACAAATGATATCTTTGATATATATATATATCATTTGTTATATTAATTTCCCTGAAGAAGTTCAGATCAGTTGCTGAACGCAAGAAACGTTTAAATTACCTATATTTCAATTTCGCTGAGATTTTACAAATATAATTTTTACATATGTCATAGGTTATGTCGACTTCTGTGCATTGCCATCCACCTTAGAGAAAAGAATAACAGACAATTATTTACATCATCATCTTACCATGTATGTTGCCGTCCACCTAAAAGTTGAACAACACACATCAGCTGCATACCTGTAGCAGTATTCATCACCTTCGAATGTCAACTACACCATGAGATTATTCCAACTTTCAAATTGGAAAGCACATTATAACACATAGAATATCAATGCACATGAATTACATACAACAAGAAGGGATATTTACAATTTCTATTTATCGTTTGTTTTTTTTACCACAAAATATGCAAAAAGAAGACGAACAGATAAAACAAATTAGCACAGAGAATAGTCGAAAGTATATTTGGGTAATTTATAATAAAATAAGGTTTTTACTCACCAAGTAATATTGATTGTAATAATAATAGTAATAATAACAATATTAGCTTCTAAGGAATGAAAAGCATTTCTGGCGATCAACATGACCAAGTAATCTGCGATGGTGATGGAAGAAAATCTTATCTGTCACGAAGTTCTACACTCCTGTGGTACTTCTTTGCATTGAGCAATTATGTCCCTGCTACTAATACCAGCAGTGGTAGTACTGGTGGTAGTTGTAGAACCTGCATCATTTCTCAGGGATAATTTTCCTGAAGTATTTTCTTCCGCTCTTTCTTTTCCTTGTGATTCAATTTTATTCGTCTCCACTTTATTAAGATCTTGATTTCTTAAAGAAAGTTTATGAATTCTATCTAAAAGAAAGATGGAATGGAAAAGGAGAGACAGTGTTTTGACACAATGCAGCAATACGCATATGAATAAAATCAAACTGAAATAAAGTATTACCGTGGGTCAGGTGTGCGGTAGCTCCAGTGGCCTTGAACGCATACTACTCGTTTGATAACGAGACTTACTATTCACTATAGTGTCACTTTGAACGCTGTGCATAGATGGAGGTGCAAATTTCATCCCTACCTCGATTTTAAATACTGTTTAGACAATTTGTGCATAGCTCGTTAGGGATACAGTCACGATTAGGGTCAGAGTTGAAATCAGGGTTACGATTAAGATTAGGGTTAGCATTACTTTTTTATTATCCACATTTGCCTAGTAAATAGTTATCGATCCTCTTAGTGGGACTCATACTGATTCAATCGATGAAACCTTCCAACTAATCAATCAAACACAATCCCTACAAAAACCAATAATTGAAAATTAATTAATCTGATTCTCACTAGTGACTGACCCTATTCAGGTAGTTAACCTGTGGTTGTAGCAGGAAGCCATGGACAGTAGGGTGCAGCAGGTTAAAGGTGAGGCGTCTTATTTCCTATCTGATTCTATTTGATTGATAACACTCGTATTATTATTTCTGAATGTACATTATCTCATATTGATTTTTATTCAAATGTCTGATCATCAATTCCACACATGTATATAAATGAAGGAAAAAAATTGTGTAAGTAACTTGATATCATTATGAGTAGCAATAGTTTGTGCTCGAAACGTGGTCATCAGTTAATATCGCTGTACAACAATGTCTGTCTGTTTTCGACATAGAACTTTGCACCAGTGTGCAGCAGTTCAAGTCGCCACACTCCCCTCCATGTAGTACACAAAGCAAGAGAAGAAAGTAGAAGAAATGCATAATATGGGCAGTAAACAGAGGTGTGAGACAAAGGAATAGTAATGACGAAGAACAATATAGTTTCATTGGAAATCATAAGTCACAAGGAGTGGATGCATCTGCGCCAGCCATTGAGTGAGAACGATTTTGAGCCATGTCACCAATTGTTTCCAACCATGGGTTTTTACCGTCCCGAGGACTCCAACCAGTCAGGAAGTCTACAACTTCCTACGTGGCTGGATTAAACTAACTGTTGTAGATTTCATTGACTGGTGAGGCCATGTTTTGGTTCGACCTCCGCTAGCTTTTTTCCAGCCTGACCCTATATCAGCTAACATTGTATGTTGTCGAGGAAGGCGATGACTAGGCATACGTAACACATGTCCTAACCATCTCAGTCGATGTAACTTCACAACCTCGTCGATTGATTTCCCCTCCCACCTACCTAGCACCCGATGCCTAACCTCGATATTGCTCATCTTATTATACCACTTCACACGGGAGATAGAACGCAGGCACATATGATCAAAGACAGCTAGCCAGGCTTTTCATCGCTTCTACTCTCAATGTCCAGGTCGCACAGCTGGTCATAAAGAAGACGGAGCGGACTGATGAGCAGTACATCCGCCCTTTGGTCGGTAGTCGGATATCTCCTCTACGCCAGAGACGGTGTAAACTGGCAGCAAAGACAGGACTCCATGTGAACATAGACAAGACGGAGGTTATGAAAATAACCAACCAACAACAGCAACATCCAGCGTCAATCACCATCAACGGGAGGGATTTGAAACAGGTGACTTCATTCACTTATCTAGGTAGCGTTGTCTCAACTACAGGCATTTGGAACGGACGAGGATGCCAAATCGAAAATCTGGAAATCTTCGTCACTCAGCATCAACAACAAAATTCGATTGGGTTTTCAATACATACGTCAAGTCAGTCAGTTCTTCTATGCGGATGAGAAACTTGGCGGGCGGGTCACAAAGAATATTTCCAACAGCCTGTTGCATGGAGACCTTCATCACCAACTGTCTTCGCTGGATCGATACTGAAGATCAGATGGCCGGGCCGGAAAGAATCACCAACAAGAAATTATGGGAACAAACAAAACAAGACCAATCGCCAACCAACAAATATGCAGGAGAAAGTGAAGATGGGTTGGACATTCGCTGAGGAGGCCGCTGAGTGACATCGCGCGCGCGTCAGGCCATTGCTCGAGTGGAACCAGGCCGAAAGGGAAGAACGCGGCGAGTGGGTCGTTAGTGCAAGGGTGACATGGAGGAGATCGTGTGAATAGGAGTTGAAAGAGTATGGACTAACATGGATGCAGGTGAAAAGCATAGCAGAAGACAGAAGCAAGTGGATACGTGCAGTTGAAGCCGTATGTTCCACTAGGAACCCAAGGGAACAATAATAATAATCCTTCTTAGCATTCAATACAGCAATACAGTCGTCATTAGAGTTTGCATGTGTTTGTGTGCATAGTTAAAATCACAATTATACAACTATGTGTAACCTCTTTATAAAAAATATTATTGCAAACCTGAATCCAATCCATGCAATCTCTTTGGTTCCAAATTCCCAATATTGGCATTTTCATTACTACAATGGTTTTCATTGTGTAAACTGGCTAGTTTCCTTTGAAGTTCTTTGATTTCTGAAGACAGAGATGAATTCAAATCTGTGTAGTGCCATATTTCATCTTGCAGTCTAAGTTTCTCTAGAGCTATATCAACCAAACGTTGACGAATTCTCGTATTCCTTTGTACGGTTATGTTAAAGGTTTTTTTAAAATTTCTACAACGATTTCTATAGAGGAAAAAAATTATGAAAACGTTTAAAATATATATGGATTTATATGAACTGTGATCAAGATTTGACCGGATAGTTGCAAAATAATTGAGATTTTTACAAATATAATTTTTATAAATCTTTTATTCTCTCCATAAGAAGACGTAGTCAATCGGGAATTTGACCAAGTGTGACTAGTTGTTGATTAACATATCCAATTTTATGTATTAGTCAGGATTTGCCATGCATCAACTAACATCAAACCTTCACGTCTGTTTAAACTGTTGGGATTCACCCATATTTGTAGGGCTTCTGCAGTCAGTCTTTCTTCATATGAACCAAAACATTTCTGTAAAACCCTAGTCTTATCAAAGCCGATTCTATGTCCCGTTTCTATTGAATGCATTCCATATCTGAGTTGTTTTCTAGCTTCTTCAAGTCTGCAGAGGTCTTTGGAACCACCTTTAAACATCGTTCATGCTCTTTCACTCTTATACTTACCTGTCTGGAAGTTTCTCCTGCACATACGGCGTTACAATCCCCACAATTGATCTGGTATACGCAATTCTGTTGGGTTTTTTCGTTCTATTTTATCCTTAACCTTCACTAGTAATGAGCGTAAGGTGTTAGCTGCACGAAAATACACTCTTATGTGGTGATCGTTAAGGATTCGCTTTATTTCATCAGATGTTTCTTTGCGGTAAGGAATCACCGCTGTACTAACCCAATTCTTAGAAGCAGGTTTCGATTCATCCTTATCTTCATATTTTAAATATCTTTTTATAAAGTCTTTAGGATAATTATTTGATTCAAGAGTGGATTCACGTGTCGGTCATTCTAAAACATCTGTTCCTCAAATTTGTGACGCAATGCAATCAACTGGACAATATATATTATTACCAAATAAGTAACTGTCAACTCCAACATATTATTCATTAACGACGTAGGGAGTGATTTGTTATCAGAGAACAGTTTTGTCGATTTACACCATGCCGATGACATTGTTCTTCTAGATGAAAACACTGACAAAATGTAGTCTCCTAAACACTTTGAGCTTAAATCTTGGTGTGTTCGACATGCTATGTCAAATGTGAGATAATCCTGCAGGACTAGTCTGTACCGACTCTTAGTATAAAAAACAACGAATGATGTGATCAGGGGAAGTCACATTAAGCCTAATAGGCTGGATGATGACGAAGTGTCAACAAGGATACAAAGGGCTCGTGTGGCATTCGGTAATTTATGTCATCCCTCACATAGACGTGATCCGGCTATCAATTGAAGGACGTATATGTATTTCACACTTTACTCACTCTACCTTTATGGCTGTGAAAGTGGAAGACCTAAATGGGCTGGCTGTCTTTATCTAACGTGTTCCTTTCATCACCCGTGTTAAATGAACAATCAAATGAAATTAAATGAATGAAGGAATACTGAGGTAAGACCAACTGTTAGATAAAAATGGAAAATCGATGAGGTTGTGAAGCCACATCGATTAAGATGATTAGGACACGTGTTACGCACAACAATCCATCGGAATCCCCAATCCGGGAATGTTGACTGACATAGGATTAAGCTGTAGAAAAGTAAAGAACGGTCAAACCAAAACAAGACATGAATCCATGAAGTCGTTAACTGTTGATTTAAGCCAAGTAGGGAGGTGTAAACTGCCCGTTTGAAGTCTACAAGATAGTAAGAACCGATGACTTCAGACTGTTGGTATCGTGGCTCAAAATTCTTCTGTGATACATACACATAGCAGATACATCAACTTCTCATTACTCTCCATGTACTTATTTTTTTCTCTACTACATTTCCGTTCATTATATTTTCTAGGACTTTCTCCCTCTACCTACCTTAGTATGCGATATGAAGTGTAAAAACTTGAGCTGCTGCAATTTCCTGAGAAGTCATACGTTGAAGACAAAGTCAGTCATTTAGTAAGCCGTCTATGTAGACTTAACTCCTGTTGAGTGTTAGATATACATACACATTATATTTTCAGAAAAATACTTAACAAAACATTGGATCATAAACCAACCTCAGAAAATGCAGAATTCCCGCGTTCATTTCTCGTAGAATCGAGTTGGCTTTTCAAGACCTCGCACTGAGTTTGAGTATCCCGTAGTTTTGATTCACATTCCTTAGTGGAAAAGAAATAAAGGTTAGGAGGGAAAATGTCTCATTAATCTAGAATTACGTCGTCTATAACAAATATACAAAAATGTATCCCGTTGAAATAGCCCAAGCTATCTATACAAACCAAATATTTCGTAATTTTGATTAAATACAATGCAAGGAGATAGAATTTCTGTTACACTAAGATGAACGTAACTATACTGTGATATATAACTTAGAGTTTCTTTGGAATGTAAAACGAACAACTCACTACTGGATTGATGTTATCCTACGAATAAAAGTGACGTGTGCTGTCAAACACACCTTTCTGCAAACCAAACTTTGGTTACAACCAATAATCAAGATTCTGTGTTTTTAATATCTTTCTGTCTGTCTGTCTGTTTTCGACATAGAACTTTGCACAAATGTGCGGAAGTTCAAGTCGCCACATTCCGTGTAGCACGCGAAGCAAGAGAAGAAAGTACAAGAAAAGCATAATAGAAACAGTGAGCAGAGGTGTGAGACAAAGGAGTAATAAAGAAATACAAAACAATTTCATTGAAGATCATCATCTTTATAAATGAAGAGGTGAAAACTCTTCGTATGCTATGTCATAAAATTGCATTCACAATGAAATTAGGCAGATGATATAATCTGCACTCATCCATAGTTTAAGAAGATGGAGTGTGGATAGTCAAGTGTGCTAACCACTTCATTTGTTTGGAATATGCTAACAAAACGTTGATCCCGCTACAAAAGATCCATCTCAAAGTTTCCAAATCACCCTCATCTTTTGCATAGACGTGATATCTGAATATCCGCCAGATGACGTGTGCACTGTTCACTAGTTCACACCATCGTTTTTTACAGCTGATATTTAGTCGTTGAAACTGGCACACTTGAAAAGGATAACTGTCTTTCAGCAATCAATCTTCCTTGTAAGGTGATGCAATGTGGTAGTAATGCTGTTAGGCGTAAATTATTGAGTCAAGAGGGGAATTAATCAACTACACTGTCAAGCTGGATCGATTGACACGATTAAGGCACGTGGTGCATCATATTCCAAGAACTTAAATGTCATTTACTCATACCTTTAGTTGACGTTCCAGTTGAGTGACATCATTCTGCAAACTATCACGAACCTCTTCTAGCTCACGGATTCGTTGACAATGCTTTGACTTCTCCTGTTCCATATTAGTTTTCACCCTGGATATTTCATCTTTTAACCGTCTAACTTCATCTGACAGCGCAATACTGGCCACCTCATCATCGTTGTCAGGAGCCTGAAAAAGCAATGCACACAATTTTGAAGAAATAAATGTAACACCCAGCAGAGATTAGATGTTAAACACTTCACACACAACCTATTTCGTGACAAAATCAATTTCTGAGGTAAATACCCACACTTACAAACGAAATGCAACGGTAATCCTAGAAAAAAATCTATACAGAGATGATTAGGAATACAAAACTTTTTCCCAAATGACTAAGTCATCAAAAACGATCACAGAACAACGACTTGGTCAGTCTGTATGGCTTGAAATTATGCCAAAATCATGTTATTAGCCTAGGATACATGCTGCAAACATTATTATATAAAGAAGGGTATCCGGAGGAATCAATTAAAAGTTTCAACAACAGATATCTACATGTCAAAACTTCTTGCTACTGAAATGAGGTCAATACAAGACAATTAAACAGCTAGACTAATAGCCTTAATTGAATCAATGAAATGTTGTAACTAGAGCTAATACTTTCGTGAGATGCTCTGTATTAGCGTGTCTGTCCCACTAGAAGTACGGCACAAACTGCATGAGTTAATCATACACACAACAGAAAGCCTCCCCAAATACTCAACATTCCAAATGAGGAAAACCAAATGTCTCATCAGTTTGAAAAATTCCCTTCTAACGGACTACCTAAACTTTCGGTACGGATAAAGAACATCTCTTTTTCAAACCAACACCAAGCACAACAAGTATACTTACTCATAATTATGAGTCACTGTTTCTTCCAAAGCCTTCAGTTGTTCGGTCAACTGAACTACACGTTTCTCAGTAGCATTAAGCTCCTCAGTCAATAAAGCAACTTCCACATCTTCTGTTTCAGAGTCGTCAATTTGGCAGGATGACAATATAGAACTGTCCTTAACATTTGACATCGTTGGTGGCTTTTCTTCTGAAGTTGAGCAATAACAGATTCAAGATGTGCAATTGTATCAAGATAATCAGCCTCCATGTTGCACAATTCAAGGAATTACATAACAAAAAGCAAAATTGCCATCCTAATAATCTCGTCAAAAAAGTTTATTATTCAGCTACTGACTTCGGCTAAAAAAATGCTGTACACAGAGACCTATAGAGCGGACAAGTATGAAATAGATAAAAGTTGGTTTGTCACATACTACAATGACAGCCCCATTCAGCTGGAATGAATATAAATCTCTTATGGATTGTAAATTATGTGAACATCACTAGTTGGATCACAAAAACAATTAATAGTCAGTTCTCACCTCACAAGAAATTACACCACACAGTATCCTATTACCCTGACAATATTCCGTTCACACGACAACTGCGTGATTTTGTCACCATATCTCTGCAAAACTCTAACTGAAGAAGTGAGTTACTATCCTACTTTTTGAGCAAAGCCTGCTACTAGGTCATTTATTAAAACGTTATCCTCAAGAGGCTCGAGATGTTAGAAATGACCCAATACGTGCAAACTTCAATATATCCCGCCTTAAATCTTTTTAATAACTGATCTAAATTAATTCAGTGACCACTTGAAAACCCGAGTATTACATCATTTGATATCTGAGTAACCTAGAAACTCTTACGTTAACTGAAGATGCCAAATAGTCGCAACGGAAGAATCCCATCTCGTCAATCGATTACCCACACTGTGTTGCTAACGTTTAAGAGGCTAACAGCTATAAAATAACAGTGAACACACTCATGTTCCAAAAACCTAATGAGTTATAGATATCCAAAAGTATAAACGCCACTCGTACAGAAAACATGAATGAATGCATAGAGATCAACTCGCAGTGTAGCGACTCTATCAGTTCACTAAAACAGTATGCTATACTTATGGTGTGAAGTAGTCTCGATGAATTCACTTGAGCACACCGACTAAGAAGTGCAATCATGCCCATTGTTTTGATGCATAAACTCCATAAGTGAACACTAACCTCCTAGATTAGCATTGAATATGTTATATCGAATGTGAAGCACAATGTATATAGTATATGTATATATAACTTTATAAGTGCTCTTCTATGTATTTAACAATATTTCCCGTGGGCAAATATATGCTTTTAAATAAGGCTTAAATTAACAGGGTGACTTAACCTGTTTTTATTTCCTAACCCTTTGGAACTACATTCACAAGTAATCGATCGTCATTTATCTTTGTCAATGTTTTACACTTTCTTCCAAATTTCTGCCTTCCACGACCATAAATTGATATGCAATTACAGTTCGCTTAATCTCGCCTTATCGATCCCTTCGCCTCTTCCGAAACTATTCAAGAAACAGTCATAACCGTCGATGAGTTCGCTACTCGTTAACCTAACAAAAGTTTTATCTAAATACGGTCAAGCAATGAGTTAGTTAGCGAACCATATGTAACAAAACCCATCTGAAATCACAATCACTTACATCCATCCTTATCACAATGACCGTAGAAACGAATTTGCCACGAATTATCTGCAGAAAAGGTAACAATTAGAGGAAGTCAGTTTAGGTTCAAACGGAATAATTGATACCAAAATCTAGGCAAAATGAGAGATGGGGTGTATTACGAAATATATATTTCGTAATACACATATATGGCCCATCCGTCACATGTAAAACGATTTAGAATTATACAGATTACAAGAAAACCCATAAACTCGCTACCCCCTTCTCAGCAGCTTATCATGAACACTTGTAGTAGAGTACCTGAAGGCGGCGCGTGAAGTGCTTGCGAACTGTCGGCAGCCTGTGGCAGCCTGTAGGGCAGCCTGTAGACGACCGTAATTTTGAGTGACCTCGAATGAGATAAACAAGCGATTTGCTCGCTTGTGATTGGCCAGTTTGTCATTCGAGTTGAGGTAATTTCAAACGTCATTTTGCTGCTTGGTTAAGTTCTGAATTTCCAGGAGCGTTTTATCGAATTGGATAGATAACTGACAACACAAACTACTACAGCTCAGAAGAGAAATCATATAGCAGTGGATTTATTTGCTGAATTCAACGAATTTATGCCGAATTAAGATCTAAGGACTTCTCAGGAGTGTGAAGAATGCAAACAGTGTTCTGAAGAGGTAATAACTTCACGCCAATTCAATTGTCGCTTAACCATTATCTTCAGAGATCCTTAAATAAGTATAATATACACAGTGGTCTGGTTAATCATGATAAAAACGGCATAGATGATGCAGCATATACGTATACTATTGTATATGTAAGTAAACATAGATAAGCCATGTTCTTGTCGCGAACATCGGAAAGCACGTGTCAATCACGTCTCATAAACCGTTAATGCCCAGCTCTCGCTACGCTCGGGCCCACGCTGTTCTTCGAAGATTTCTCAGAAACGCTTAGTTATAACGGACGCAAAAACCAAAACACTGATCTGCCTCTTTAGATTTGTTTATTGTTACACCAACATATAAAAGGAATAAGCGAACTAAGCAAACTAAGGTCTGAAAACAAATATTACAATAATAAATCTCTGTATTACTTCTGACGATGTTTCACTCTTCTTTCTGAACAGCGACCGATGAGACGATGACTGTCGTATTGATGCTTCCGCGAAAATTGGGGAGGTTGATTTTAAGCAAACAACCAAGAATTGATCGTTCAATCTTCAACTCCATTGACACTCCCCGGCAAAAAAGGGATCCAACCCTTTTTTCCTTCACGACCAATGCACGTTGACTTGGATGCCATTGCGAGAACCTGGGT